GCCCGGGCGCGCCGGCCGCTCTCTGTGGCCTGTGTGCGGCCACGCCCGGCCTGAGGCCACGGAGAACTTCTTCCCGCCCCGGGGCCTGCTGCCTCCTCTCCCGGTTTTCGGCTCCGGTTCCTCCCTCTCGGCTCCCCCCTGCGGGGACTCGCCCTGCTCAGCCCTGGGGGGCTCCAGGGGGGCGGCTTCCTCGTCCAGGGCACAGGGGGTGGGCTCCTGTGGTGGTGGCTCTGAGGCGGGCGGCGTGGGGGACACGCTGAGGCTCCTGCTCGCCAGTGCCTTGTGCTTCAAGCAGCTCTTGGAGGCTGGGGGGCTGGGGGCGAGGTCCTCCGAGCACTCTGTGCCCTCTGTGCCCTCGGGACTGGGACTGGGCACTGCCAGTGTCAGCCCTGCCTCCTCTGCCTCCTCCTGCGCAGCGAGGCCTGGCCCGTCTGGACCAGGGGGAGTCTCCGAGGGGATGGCCGGTCCGGTCCCAGGAGCAGGAGGTGCCGTGTCCTCCTCAGGGACGCGGGGTGATGAACTCTCAGCGTCTCCAGAAGCGCACCCCTCCTCTCCAGCTGCGTCCTGGGAGGGTGGATGTGCGCTTTCAAGGGATGGCTCCTCCTTTTGATGTTTGCTGTCAGGGTCAGGGTGTGGGGAGTCTTCTGGCAAAAGTGGGCACTCCAAGCAGGGGGCTGGGCCTGGCACGGGCTCAGTGACCTCCGTGATCTCCGGGGTGGCCTGGCGGCTGGAGGGATCGTCCCCGGGGAGGCTCTCGTCCTCCTCGGCACTGGCACTGAGCGCGGGGCAGTGCTGCAGACGCACCCGCCTGGCACGGGGTGGCAGCACGGGGGCCGGTCCCCCATGCCCAGCCTGCTGCCCAGCACTGGGCGTCTCCTCTGTGCCGACTGTGGGCACCGGCTTCTCGCTGGACTCCTCCTCCTCGGGGGTGCAGGTCAGGTCGACCAGGCATTCGGACTGCGCCCGCCTGGCACGGGGCCTCCCAGGCGGCAGCACGGGGGCCAGTCCCCCGGGCCCAGGCTGCTGCCCACCACTGGGCGTCTCCCCTGCGCGGACTGTGGGCACCGGCTTCTCGTCGGACTCCTCCTCCTCGGGCGTGCAGGTCAGGTCGCCCAGGCACTCGGACTGCGCCCGCTAGGAGAGGAAGAGGACACACACATCACTGCAGGGGACGGGAGGCCCCCACTGCCCGCTTGTCCAGGCTGCACCCGCTAAGACCCTCACGTCCAGGAACCTCTTCCTAGTCCCTCCCTCCCAGCTCTAGTTTGGAGTCTTGCCTCACAAGCCCACTTTCAGCAGAACAGTGGCAGCCATGCCCTCAAATAAATGTTGCCTGGGGCTCGCGTGGAGGGCGCTCTAAGGAGCGAAGCCACGGAGGGGGACCGAGACCAGGTGGAGGGCTGCCACGTCTGCGCTCTATACTTGTTGCTCCTTCCCTCTGGATGCCTCCCAGCGCTGGAAGGATCTTCACTCCCCCTGTGTACTGGCGAGGGCTCGGGGGCAACTCCTGGCCCGCGGAGCTCCGAGCCCAGAGGGAAGCTGGGGCTCCGCAGAGCCAGCCTCCCCCTCAGCCCCGCTCCCAGCGAGGGCAGGCTGTTTGCCTAAAACGGGATTCACAGCATGTCAAACAAGATCAACAGTAGCCCACAGCGTACAGGGCAAAGTCCACATTTTTCAGCTCAACGTAGCCTGACAGTCTCTGCTGTTCGGTGTCCCTCCAGCTCCCTCCTCAGGTCCCGCCAAGCCCCCTGCTGTCCGGACCCCCCCATACCGCCAGGGCACTCTACCAGCACCCCACGACTCAAATCCGTCTCAACAGAAGCCTGGCCTCCTCCCCGAGGCTCTGACTCTCCCACTCTCCTGACACCTGGGCTGCCTGGTGGCAGTTTTCTTCCCAAAGGTCTGGAATTGGGGCCGGTCCCGCCGCACGCAGAGCCAGCCCCTGCTCTTCTGGAGGAAAGGAGAGGAAGGCAATCGCTTGTCATTCAAAAGCCCAACTGACCCAAGGGCTGTGCTGTGGAGGCTGACCTTTGGAAAAACTCTGACATAGGGCCTGGAGTCATCAGGCATTGCAGTGAGCTCCCCCCACCCCCCCCACCCCGCCTTTAGGCAGCACCCCGGGTGTCAGCAATAGGTTTCTGTTGTCTGTGGATGTTATTTTTAACGACTTCCAGCCAGCATCTCCTTGCTGAAAGGACACGGGATCGCTGGGATGTTTGAACAATACCTCAGCCGAACTCTGGCCAAGATGCACAATCCTACCCTTCTGGGCACACAGGGAAGAAAATCGACAGCAGAATTTTCAACAGCTGCAGGTACAAAGGCATCACTGGCCTTCTGCTGTCACAGGAAATCACGGACGTTGAAACCTCTTTAGGATGTGGGTCACCTTTAAAATGCTCACACTGAGTCAGTTCGGAGCGGGAGCAGGCTCCACGGGGCCCACCCAGGGGAGGAGGGGGGGCGGGACGAAGGTGGGCGTGGAACACAGACCCCAGAGGATGGACTTGGACGTGGAGCAGAGGGTCAGGCACAGCAGCAGAAGGCATGTGCCCCCCATCTCCACTGTTCCCCGCCCTCCGGCCTCCCCGGACAGCGGAAGTAGAGGACCTACTGCTCAGCCTGCACAGGGATGGAGACCATCCTGGCTGCTGCTCGTCCCCCTCCTCTCACCGGCACGAGTCCTGGGGCAGATCCCCATCCTCTGCAGGCGGCAGCCCCCCGATGAGCAGTGTGGGGTTTGGAGGTGCCAGGCTCTATCAGAGACCCGGGCGTGCAGCTGGCAGCTCTGCCAGCCATGCCACCTTGATCTAGCCGTGTCACCCTGCTGTTCCCGGGAGAGTTCATGACATGCCCTGCTCCTGGCACTGCGGGCTGGGGGCGGACTGACTGTGGGGAGGGGTGCGCGGACATTCACCGGGGTTCCCCGTCTGCACTGGAGCCCCACGGGCCGTTCTGTGCTGGCGGGAAAAGCCGAGGGCACAGCCTGCGCTTGTCTCCTGCCCTCTGCTTCGGAGGCCGGCAGGTTCAGCCAAATGCCCACCGGGATGTGTTTCTCCAACGTGAGAGAAACTCTACTTGAGAGCCAAGGATTTCATCCGACCGTGGACGACGGGGCTCTGAAGGTAAGAAAGCCCTTCTGCTTTCTACCAGAGCTCGACTGAGTCAGAGCCTCGGGGATGTGCAGGGCAGTGTGCCCCACTTGGACCGGGCAGGGATGGCCAGCTGGCACGGACGGCCATTCTGCCCAGATGGAGGAAGGCGCCTGGGCGGCAGGAGGAAGAGACTAAAGTAGAGGCTCTGCAGGCGTCTGAGCCCGGGGTGGGGGAGGGTGGGTGATGGAGAAAGAAGTCCCAGCTATCAGAAAAGCAGGGCGACTTGGGCCTCAGTGTCTCACGAAGCCCAGAGGGGAGTGAACCTCCACGGACACGCAGGTCAGGAGGGCAGCCGGGGGCAGCGTGGTGGCTTTCCCCGCCCGCAGAGCAGGATGGGAGCATCAGAAAGCAGCTGAGTCCCAGGGTGGCCCAGTAGCAGGAAGGTCCTCATGGTTGGGAAGAGGGACCTCATGGCCAAAGGGCAAAGGGCGCTGTGGACAGGAAGAACAAAGCCTCCCGCTGAGGACCAGGAAAACACGCAGACCTCCCAAAGCCTAACCTATCCGTGCTCGTCCCCCTCCTCTCACCGGCTGCTCCCACCAGGGACGAGAAGGAGAGGAGAGGACACAACAGTTTAAATGAAGGAAAGACTCTGTTTACCCAGATGGGGAAGATGAGACCTTTTGTTGTTCTAAAATGTGGTGAAGAGCCAAGTCAAGTTCAAGAGCGAAGAAAGAGGCACAGCTCCTCTTCCCCGGGGCAGAGAGGGGGTGCTGCCCTTCCCCTGAAGCAGGAGGCACTGCCCTCGGCCCCAAGTCCCTCCGGGCTGGTGACATGCACCCCTGCAGGGCCCCAGACACCCCTGGGAATAAAGCCCGCCTTGAGGGCCAGCGGGAGCTGCTGCGTCCCTGCCCTGGGTGCCATGCAGCATGAGGACGGGCAGGCCAGAGCGACTGGGCCTTGGCAAGTCCCCCCGCTCAGAGCCTCTCACTGTCAATGCCCCGGATGCTCAAGCGCCTGTGCACACCCGAGGCCTGGCTCCCTGAGGGCACAGTGCCCTGGAGGCAACCACAGCTCACTTCCTTCTTCAGCGTCCGTCCCCTCAAACGTCACCCTGTAAAACCCATGCCAAGCCTTCCAGCATGAGCTTCAGAAGCATGTTCCACACGCCCAAAGGGGAACCCCCTGATTCAGGGGGTCCCCGACATCCTGGGTGGCCCCGCGCCACCGTCTCCAGCTGAAGCACCGAGCTTGTCCCGGGGCCTTTGTCAGCCCCATCTTGTCTCGAGGGACGAAGGGAGGGAACGCTGGTCAGCGAGCACCCCTTTCTCAGCACTGGCTGCTGCCTGGCCTCAGCTCCTCGGGGTGAGGCAGTGTCCGCACACCAGGCTGGGGAGAAGGCACCCACCCTGCACGGACCGTGACTCCCTGGCACCACGAGTGAGTTCTCGACTCTCACAGCTATGAGCTGACACCTGCCCGGGCCGCAGCCCCAAGAGGGTCTGTCCTTACAGGGACACCATCCCTCTGCTACGAAGCAGGTGCTCACCCAAGGGGGGGCGGGGTCCAGTCTAGTGGCTTCTTCTTTTGCCATCACTCATTCCCTGTGTGTTTATTCATTCATGCATTCAACCAATGTTTGCTGGGTCAGCTCTGTGATGAGCTGAGCCCCGGGGCTGGAGGTGCAGCTGGGACAAGGCCTCGGAGAAGACAGGCAGTAAACAAGTGAGCACGCATTTCCAAAGGTCGCGCTGCGTAGCCCATGCTATGAGGAAAGTGAGCACCATGGGGGAGGCAGGTGCGCTCAGGTGAGCCCGTGGGGAGAGGACCTCGAGGCAAGACCTCGAGGCTGAGGAGGAGCTGCCAGGAGATCAAGGAGGGACAAGGCTGTGGCCGGAGGCAGCTGGAGAGCTCAGGAGCAGGAGGAGGCAGAGCAAGAGGAAGCCCGAGGCAGGCAGGGGTGGGGTGGGTAGGGGGGGTGCAGAGTGTGGACTTCGCTGAGTGCAGAGGGAAGGCAAGGAGAGGCAGCACACAGCAAGCAGGTCTGTGACAGGTTGCAGAGTGAGTGAATGAATGAATGAATGAATGATGAAGGAAGGAAGGGTTTATGTAGGGGAGAGACATATTAATGTATGTTGTCACTGGGGCCGTGGGAGTCCCTCTGGGGGGCACTTGGCCCTGGGGGGAGAGGGTCGGGGGAGAGGTGGCGGGAGGGGGGCTGATTACCGAGGACAGGCGCCTCATTTTGCTTGAGCGCTGGTTGCGGGGCTTAACCAGGAGCTTGTGCTTCGCTGCGGAGTTGTCCAGGCAGGAGGAGGATTCTGGGGGGCAGCTGAAATCAGCCACCGGCGCCACACTGCTGGCCGCGGTCCGGGGGCAGGCGGGGGCGTCGCTCGGGGGCCTGGAGGAGGGCTGGTCTGGAGAGGGCGGCCGGGACGAGGAAACCAAAGAGACCTTCACGAGAGAAGGAGCAAACGGCCATGTTAATTCTCAACACGAACAGGTGCGGCAAACACTCCGACTTCGTGCTTTCACCACCCCATCTTCCCCGGAGTCTCAACAGGGAGGGTGAAGTGTTGAGCCACTGCCTGGAAGCCTGCCACTCATTCCACGGCCACACAGGGAACCTGCGCCCCAGGCCGCTCAGCAGACAGCGGCCGTCACCCTCCCAGCGCTGCGGGCACAGGCACGCAGACAGAGCTAGCTACTCTGATGATGCAGGCAGCTGATTCCCCCAGGGCAGAGTCGGGCGTGGTCTTGTCTCTGGAAGCTAAGGGGTGACCAGCGGTGTGACCTCTAGGCAGGGGCACAGGATGTGCGAAGCCCCCCTGGCAGTCCATCACTGGAGCCTGGGCTGCTCACCCTAGAGCAGTGGTTCTCAACCTTCTGGCCCTTTAAATACAGCCCCTCATGTTGTGACCCAACCATAACATTATTTTCGTTGCTACTTCATAACTGTAATGTTGCTACTGTTATGAATCGTCATGTAAGTATCTAATATGCAGGATGGTCTTAGGCGACCCCTGTGAAAGGGTCGTTCGACCGCCAAATGGGTCGCGACCCACAGGTTGAGAACTGCTGCCCTAGACGGTTTCTGTGTCTTTACACAAGCTCTTGGAGAATCTGGTTTAAGTTACCATCTGTTAAGTTACAATATTTCACTAATTTAAACTTCAGAAGAGAGTAACTGACAGCTAAGGGCAAAAGTGTTGCCAGGGAGTCTGGCTGTCACACGCAAGAATGATGGCAACGCCCCGAGCTCCCTGCCCACTGAACTTGGCAAGCTATTCCGCCCAGGGAGGCCGGAGTGGGTCCCCTGCAGAGATGTGTCAGCGCGAAGTAAAGAGGGCGCCTGCTGCACAGCATGACCCAGGCAGCCAGGTGACCAGCGAGGAGCAGAGGGAAGCTGGGAGGTGCTGGCGTGAGCTACAGCCCTGTCACCTGCAAACAAACTTTCTATTCTAGCCTGGTGCTCAAGAAGAGTGTCAAGCTTACGTGGTTTTTCCAGGGTTATTTTCCTTTTTTTTTTTTTTTACTGTAGTAAAGTACACAGAAAATTTAGCATCTCAGCCATTTTTAAGTGTGCAGTACAGTGGGATTAAATACATTCATATTACTGTGCAACCATCGCCACCATCTGCCCCTAGAACTTCTCTTGGAAAGCTGAAACCCTGTGCCCACCGAACTCCTCCTCCCATGCCCTCTCCCAGCCGTGGCACCACAGTCCGACTCTGTTTCTGTGAGTGTGCTTTCTCGCCGCGCCTCCTGTAAGTGGAATCCCACAGTATTCGCCCCTTTGTGACAGGCTTATCTCACTGGGCAGCGTGTCTGTGAGGCCCATCCCCGCTGCGGCCGGTCAGAGTTCCCTCCTTTTGTGTGTGCCGACCACGTCTGTTATTGGCCACTTGTTGACGGGCAGCTGTGTGCTCCCACCTTTTAGCTGCTGCGAACGATGCTGCTATGGACATGGTTGTAAGAAAATCTTTCAGAGGACTTGCTTTCAATTCTTATAGGTAGATACCGAGAAGGAGAATTGCTGGATCATTTGCTAGCTCTATTTCAGTTTTCTGAGGACCCTCCATAGTGCTTTCCACAGTGACTGCACCCTTTGGGTTTGCTAACACCAAGTTGGGACTCCCATTTCTCCACATTCTCGCCAAAACGTGTTATTTATTTATTTGCTTATTTCTTTATTTCTCTATATGTTTTACAGTAGCCGTCCTAATGGGTGAGGTGGTGTCAGGTGCACATTTTAACCTAAGACATAATTCTGTGTCTCTCTCAATGATGTAGTAAGTGCTTGTGGGAAGTCTCAGGAGGGGGGCAGAGAGCGGGCTCGGAGGGCACGGGCACATCCTGCTCGGCTACTTTCCCCAAACCCTGGGCCCCACGCAGAGTAGGGCCAGCAGCCTCCTCTAACCCAGGGCGTGGGGTGCAAAGGGAGGCCACTGCTGCAGAGACAGGCTCTGAGGCAGGGCCCACCCCCAGGGGCACTGCCTCTCCCGGTTCCTACGGGTCCTACGAAGGCCCCTCACATGCTCTCAGGCAAGCAGAACGCTTATTTCTGTCAGGAGGGAGAAGAAGGGCACTGAACGAGGCAAAGGTTGTAAGTGGACGGAATCAATTTTAGTTCTTGTTTGAGCTACTCAGGTGTTATGGAAACAGAGCAAGAAAAATTATTTTTAAAACAAACCACAGGACGCCTGGCCACGACCTCCGCTGTACCTGTGGCTTTAGCTCCCTTCCCTCTTGCCCTCCTTAAGGAGTCCCCCTTAAGGGCGACGCAGCAGAATCCTGCCCTAGCTGGTTTGGCTCAGTGGATAGAGCGTTGGCCTGCGAACTGAAGGGTCCCAGGTTTGATTCCAGTCAAGGGCACATGCCCGGGTTGTAGGCTCGGTCCCCAGTGTGGGGTGTGCAGGAGGCAGCTGATCAATGATTCTCTCTCATCATTAATGTTTCTATCTCTCTCTCTCCCTCTCCCTTCCTCTCTGAAATCAATTTAAAAAATTAAAAAAAAAATCATGCAGAATCCTGCACCAGCCCCTCTAGATGTAATACACACTTGGCTTGTTTTGCTGACCGTTTGGGACTCAAGAGAACAGAAAGACGAGGAGCTTTGCAAACGCAGTGAGTCCAGGAATGAGAAGGATTACTTTTGAGACCAAGGGCCTCTGGTCACCCCTCTATAAACCCAAAGGACAGGCATGCCTGTCTCCTCTCCTCCACGGCGCCCACCTTGCCCTAGGCTGCCCTTGCCCAGGAGCCTCAGTTCCCTGACACCGAACAAGGACCCCCGTCCCGCACAGGCGCTGTGCTGGCTGTCACCGTGGGCCTTCCTGCTGGGAGCTGAGCTCTCCGCTGCGGGCTGAGGTCTTGGGTCTGGAAAGACCGATCCCTTCAGGCCCAGGAGAAGCATGATCTCCTGCCGAGGTCACTGGGGCCGCTGCAGAGGTGGGGCGGGGCCAAGGGGAGGAGGACAGGAACGCTGGCCGCATTTTATCTGTGGGCCGGCAGCATCTGGGCATGGTCACTGGCACTGCGTGCTCCCAGGCACCCACTTTTCTTCTGAAATCTGTGCTTCTGGATGATTCTCCAAGGGGATGATTTAAAAGTCTAACTGTGGCCCCGTGTTGGGGGATGTGGCTCACAGGGCCATGAGGAAATGGCCTGGGTTGAGAGGGTTGTTCAGGGGTGATCGTGGGTGACAGCTGCTTAAAAATGTTTGTTCTCAAACAGAGGGGCTCAGCCATTGGCGAGAGGGTGAGGGCGGTGCACCCAGGAGCAGCAGCGGATGCGGAGCAGGGTGGTGGGACGGACGCCGGGGCATTCACGGTGAGGAAAGGGGGTGCTGCTCCACCTGGCCTCCTCTGATTCTCTCCCAAACCCTGAGGACAGATGCCTAGAAGTGACAGCACCTGCCTGGGGTCTAGCCCTGTGGTGGTGGACACATGTCCCCCTTTTGCCACCAGAGCTGTGTCTCCCCCCCATCTCCCTGACCTCCCTCGTCTCTTGCAGCAGACAGACTGGCCAGTTTGCCACCCAGTGTTCCCTCCTTAGTGGCAGGAAGCCTAGCACATGACTAGTTAGATGTAATTTCACCTTCAAGATCACCAAGTTACGTTTCATCAGTTGCCAGCTCACATGCTAATAAAATTTAAGAAGTAATTCCAGGTATTTCCTGGAAAACTCATTCTGCCAGGATACCACCTTGGCACTGACTGTTACTGCAGTCCGCTGTTCAGAGGAATCTTCCTCGAGGGTCTCCGCCCGCATGCAGGCCTGTGGCGGTCACGGCAGGAAAGAGCGACACAGCCCACAGCGCTGTGCTTTGGGGTGGAAGGCGCCGCTGTGGCCAATACCACGCGTTACATAACGCGTCGCGGCGCACGGCCCCTCGCGGCCGGCCACTGCGCCTGGGCCCGGCCAGGGCACACAATACCATCACTGTGTCCTCAAAGCCACAATCTGAAGATTACTTTTCTTAAGTCTTAAAGGCTCAGGTTTTGATTTCCTATGAAGCTAGAGGATTGTTCATGTTGCCCAAGAAGTGATAACTTCCCAGAATGCTCTGGACGCTGAGAAGGACGAGGGCGGCCTGCCCAGCACGAGTGGCTCCCACTCAGCCAACTGTGGCCTCTGCACTTCGTGGTGCTGGTGGGTTTGGAGCTGGGCTCGCTCCTGAGTGAACGGACTTAGAAACAAGGGGTCTCTGTACTGTGTCCCCACTAAACAGAGGGCACTACGGGCCGTGAGTGTCAGACACTGCTGTGCGGTGGAATGGGGCAAGAGGGTCAACGATGGCTCACGAGAGACCGCCCCACAAACACACAAGGTCACACGAGGCCCTGAGGCTGGGGGATGCCGAGGCTGGAGGATGGGGACACTGAGGGACTTAGAAACAAGGGGTCTCTGTACTGTGTCCCCACTAAACAGAGGGCACTACGGGCCGTGAGTGTCAGACACTGCTGTGCGGTGGAATGGGGCAAGAGGGTCAACGATGGCTCACGAGAGACCGCCCCACAAACACACAAGGTCACACGAGGCCCTGAGGCTGGGGGATGCCGAGGCTGGAGGATGGGGACACTGAGGCTGGGGGACACCGAGGCTGGAGGACAGGGACGCTGAGGCTGGGGGACACTGAGGCTGGGGGACGCGGGCGGGGGCGGACCCGAGGGGGGGGGACGCCGAGGCTGGGGGACACTGAGGCTGGGGGACTGGGGGACACTGAGGCTGGGGGGCGCTGAAGCTGGGGGACACTGAAGCTGCACACCTGAGGGTGCAGCGATGTGTCCGTCACATTGTAATTAAAACATAAGCAGCACAAGCCTGTCAACTTCTCCTCCGGTGTTTTAAGGTGTCATGGGAGTGGCTTGAAGTCCAAGAAACAGGGCAAACCATCCTCCTGCCCCCTCCTCCTTCTCCGCCAGGTGGGAGAGCCGTGGGGTGGCCTACTGTTCCCAGGCCTGTGTGGAGCCAGCGGGGACAGGCGCCCCTGGAGTGGAGCTCTGCGGGTGCCGGGCTAGTTCACTCAGCCACACCACAGCCTTCCTGTCAGGGACCCTCCGGCCGCCCACAGCTGCACACACACCGAGCAGCTTGCTTCCCCAGCCTCTGCAGGGCTCCCGGGGTTCAGAGGGCACAGGCTCTGAGCCTCCGAGTCAGGATGAAACCGGGCTCCCTGGGGTAGCCCTGGCCCAGGCGGCAGTGCTGCTCCCAGGTGCTCCGGGGGGAGTGTGGCTGTACAGATGGACCCAGGTGCCAGCATAACACGAACAGCCCCCCTCTGCCCAGCCCTCGGCAAGCTGTGTGCCAGGGGCATGGGCATTCATGTACAAGCAGGTGGCCTGGGTGGAAGGGCGGCCCGGGAGCCCTGCAGTTTGCACAGCAGGCGGGGCCCATCCTCCCCGTGGGTTCTCAGGGGAGGGTGGCATCCAAGACGAGCTCCCCCGCCCGCGGAGGCCATGCCGCCTCTCCTGCTGGGCCAACTCCCCGCTGCCCTGTGACCAGCACCACGCCTCGCCCTGCCCCCGCCCCCACCCCGCCTGACCGGTTCTCACTGTCCTCCATTCAGATGCCACCACCCGGACTAGGTCACTCATGCTGACCACTCCCTTCTCCCTCCAGCCCAGTGTCGGCCAACAGAGAGCGGGACAAAGGTGCTTCCTCCTGGTCCGCTCGACAGGAAAGACGAGGTAGAGTCCACCGTGTCAGATCTCTCCCATCGTGAAGCACGCGACCCAGACCCTATCGCCTCAGGAGACCTGCATTTCTGCTCAAAGAGTGAAAACAAATGCCAGCTGTGGGCACCAGTGACCTGCGCCGGGAGACCTCCCGCTGCACCGAGCCCGGCCACCCACCACGGGCCTCGCACGGGGGACACCGCAGGCGCTGCCCTCC